ATCCTGTTGATCAAGTTTGCACTCCTCCAAACAATGTTGCTTTGCCACCTGAAAACACAAACGTGAGCTAACCGGCGAGTGTGTGCCGGAAACCCCTCCAATGCCTAAGTCAGCAACTAGACAATAGACAATAAGCTCTGTGTATTCTAGAGTAAGAATTAGGATTGTCATACCTGTCCATAGGTCCTGCTATGAGCATTTATAGACTTGGCTTGACCCATTCCTAGTAGGATTTCCAACTCTCCCTATGAGAGTCCTCCTAGGAATCACGCACCCTACTCACTACCAACCAAGTGAGATGGTTTGCACAATCCTAGTAGGATTTTACTTTCCTTAGCAGAGTCCTCCTAGGAGTCACACACCTACTCACTACCAACCAAGTGAGATGGTTTTTACATAATCTCAGTAGGACTCTAACTCTCCTTAGCAGAGTCTTACTAGGAGTCTCATCACTACAAGCCAAGTGAGATGGCTGAACCCTTTGTCTCAATTATACAAGCTACTGCAACCACACCAAGCTAAGTTACCTCGGTCACACACTTAGGTAATGATGTATATGGCGCCCGACCGAGCTATACCAAACCCGACATCTTTTCTCACCAATACCTCGGCTAACCACCAGGCCCACTTATTTCGGCTGACACCTTTACCTCGGCTAACATTGCGGTCAACCAAGTTACTTCGGCTCTGTGATACTTTAAGCACTACTATCAGTCTTGGCTTTGAGATGACGCCCTGCAGAGCTATCCTTTAGCTCGGTCCTCCTTCTACCGATACTTCGGTCCATAGTTCGACCCAAACCCGAAATATGAGATGTCTTCTTGGCCTAAGACCGAGCTACACCAGCCCTTATCTCGGTCCATTACGCGGTCCAACTCCCAAAGAAGACTCTTCCTAGCTCGGCCTAATTTGTTTACAAATTACCCTCTCAAAAATAATCCTGAATGGCAATTGATGTGAAGGGTACTAGAAGGAGACATTAAGATGAAATCAATGAGATTTTAGTTAGTTTAAAATGTGCGTTCCCATCTATGTGGAAGGATATATGAGCCTACGTCGCAACTGAGGCTTGGTTTGGAGGCTTCATAAAAAATTTGAATTGAATCACTAATACCAGATGAGTCGTTTGGTGAGGGAGATTATTGGATGGTTTAGGAGTATTGCTCCACACCACTAGACACTTGACACTTGTCAAGTTGTTTCTTACTAGCCTAATAAAAAGTACAATTCTGCTATGTAGCTCGATTTTTATGAGGCTCGAATGGTCCAACCTCTCTCTCTTTCTCATTCTTCTTTATCTCTCCTCCTCGTCCTTGGTCTTCTTCTTCTTTCTTTTGAACTGCGACGGTGGGCTCTCTCTCTCTCTCTCTCTCATATATACATACATATATATAGATCTGTATATACACAGATCTAACCTTCCTCATCTCCCTGCATTTTCCAGTCCTCCAAACACTCTCTCAGTAAGCTTTCTCTCTTCTCTTTACCTACTTTCTTGTTAGGGAAAATATTTGATTCCCCACAAGTAAATCAATCAATAGGAATAAAAACTAATACGGAAAATTAAATCAAAAGGAACACAAGAATTTTTACGTGGTTCCCTCAATGTGAGGTACGTCCACGGGATCGAAATCCGATTTTACTATCAACCAAATAGTTTCCAAACGATTACAAACAAGACACAAATGGTCTCACAAAATCACCCTTAGGTGAATTCCAAATAATCACAAATAAATAAGAGGAAATACTTCACCAAATAGATGAACAAAAAATCTTCAGAACCAGAATTGTAGAAGATCCAAAATAATAGACCAAATTAGCTTTGTAAGCACCAATCAAAACTTGAAACCCATGAAATTTCCAAGCACTAGGATCAAGAAAACCCACTGAATTGAGTCTTTCTTTTGCTACTGCCGTGGAACCAAACGGCTGCCTCCTTTTGTTTTCTCACTCCACCGAATTGATTCAATTAATATCAATATTAAGCCACTGCTTCGGCTCCACTCCGAAAAAACACACAAAACAATATATATATATATACATATATATGTGTGTATGTATTGTTAAATTTTGGATTTGTTTTATCAAAATTCTAATTGTTATCAAACTGAATTGGGTCTCCACAAATTAGATATAATATATAAAATATATTATACCTAAACCAAACCAAATTAAAATTCTTTAACAAACCAATTGGGTCTCAAACTCCAATAAGGAGATATATCCCAACACTCTCTAAAAAGAACCTCTTTTCTTCTCTTCTCTGTATTATCTGCTTAAACTCCTCAGTTTCTCCAAACAATTTGAATTTCCATCAGCAACAAATTCAGTCAGAAAAAAAGCAGTAATGTAACATTTTGGACCAATCGAAGATTTGTTGGGAACATTTTGGGTGGTTTGGGTCTCCTGTAAGGATTTATTTGGTTCAAGTTATGGGGACTCCATAAATGAGGAAAAAATAAGAAATTGTTAGCTTTAAGGCACAGAGAAATTCATAGTGTTTTTAGAAGATATGGTCCATGATGGATTAAAACAATGGAAAATGATTCATTTAAGATGAACCCAGTTTTTTCGCACAATACCTGTGTTTCTTTCGAATCTTTTCAAGTTTCTTCAACAATGGTTTCGTCGGCGGCCGAGGCCTTCGTCTCGTTAACAGCACTCTCTTCTCCTTCTCTTCCTCCTTCTCTCCTTCTTTTCTCCTTTTCTGTCTGTTTCAGAGAGAAAACAGAGGAGGGAGAAAAAAGAAAAAGAAAAAAAAAAGAAAAAGAAAAAAGAATTGCCTAAAACGACGTCGTTTTGGGTATTTGAGCCATTTGGGCCAACATGTTTCAAACTACGAAACATTATTCTAAAAAGTATTGGATTCCCGTAATTTCAACCAATCATATTGAGTTGGGGTACTATGTGACAATGTTTCAAGATCACTACATAATTTTTCATTTGATGCAAACTATAGATAATTTTATATTTTTTTAAAATTTATTTTAATATTTGCATCAGAGTACTTGGTAGTACAACTACTCGCTAGTGGTAAAGATAATTTAAATAAATTAAAAACAACTAATTATTAAATAAAATCAGAAAGAAATGTTTTAATTTTTAATTTTCAAATTCTAAAAAATTATACCAAATAAATCTTGTTTAGTGATTGGGCCTACCACCAACCCTAGCTCATGAGGAGGTTGGGATTCAATCCCCACCCCCTCCCCTTCCCTAACGTAACCCTTGGTCTAAATTAGAATAAGGGTAAATTTGGAAAGTTCAGATTATAGTCAAAAATTAAAAAATTATTAAAAAATTTTAAGTGTCAAATAAATATATAAAAATTCAAATATTTTATTTTCTTTATTTTTTTTTGTATATTTTTCGTAAAAAGTTAAAAAATCATCTCAAGCATACTAATTTTTTCACCACATATTTTAGTTAAAAAATTTAGAAGTTACTAAGATAATTAATTCTCAAAATAACGCTATTTTCAATATATATATATTAGGCTTTGGAATAGAGAAACAAAAATATTATAAATTCAAACTTAACTACCTAAAAATTATCTAAAATTATTATCTTATGTTCAAATTTGTTCTATATATAGACGCCATATTACATAAATTTAATTTTTTACCACACAATCACCCACCAAAATTTCACAATTTTCATAAAATTTCACATTATTTGAGAAAATGTTCACAATTTCTCAAATACAAAAACAGTGAAAATTTATAGTTTCTCAAAAACAAAAATGGACAAATTTCACTTTACCCCCTTACACTTTTGTTCATGTGCAGATCACTCCCCCCTCATTTGGAAATAACCACATGGTTCCCTTATAGTTTGTGAACTGAAGTGCATTATTAAACATTCCGTCAAACTTACATCAAGTGTTAAACACATGCCAAATATAAAGAGATCATATGATCATTTTCAAATTTCAATGGAATAAACTGCACGTGCACTGAAGGTTAAAGAACACTTTGCCTTCTAATCAAATGACGCAAATATTTGTAATTCATACACTTATGTTATTTATATACAGAGATATTTTAATTTTTTTTATTAAATTATTAACTAACTTAATAGTGTACTTCAATCCATAAACCACAGAGCTATGAGATTATTTCCAAATATGATGGACTAATCTACATAGAGCAAACCATAAGAGAGTAAAGTGAAATTGTTCATACAAAAATTGTGACATCCTACAATTTTATAAACTAAAAAATTCGCTTGAGTTTGGAATAGTACGAAAAGTCTGGTATACATTCGAATTTACTATGATGTGAGACTCAAATCAATCTGGCCCACACAACTCATTTTCTATAACTTTTCGAATAACTTTTGTCAAGCTCCACAAAATTGTTTCATCCGCTTACCATTTTGATCTTCATGCAGGGGCTTGACTATTCATCCCGAGAATGGCAATTCGAAGGCTATGGTTTTGTGCCAAACACAACCTCCGGTGCTACAATAGTACAAATTCACAGTGCATCTCATGGTGCAACAACAATAATATTGAGGATCTATAATGGAGACATGGGGTACTACAGTGGTGAGCTAGTTGATACTGATCGGTATGACAAATGGTTTCAAGTTAATTTAATTCATGATGTGGATGGGGGGAAGGTCACAGTGTTCATCAATGGTGCACAAAAATTTGAGACACATGATTAAGGGCCTGGGGACATGTATTTCAAATGCGGGGTATATGCTGCACCAACTAATATAAGCTACTACATGGACTCCTGGTGGAGAGACATCAAAATATACACGTGGTGATGCAAATTGAAAAGTAATTTACCCAACAAATAAATAAATAAAGTATTCAGAACTTGAACTTATTGTGTAAATTTAAACTTGGTGGATAGCAATAATAGCAAGTAACTATATATTGTAATTTGCATACACTCGATGGATGAAGGGAAGGTGACAGTCTTCATCCATGGTGTCTGAAATTCATGATAAATAAGGTAACTCTCAGTTGAAAATGTTAAGTCATGTCCTTCAGATGCAAACAATTCAATGTATTCCTTAACAAGATCGAGATAATACAAAATCCAAGCCAATGACAATAATTGGCATAAAATCCATGAATTGAATCAACAAGCCAGCCCAATGTTCAGTTTCTTACATTCAAACTTTACTAAAGAATCCCTTTTGTGTACATGATGTGAATAAAATGAATACAATGACAAATGAAATGTATAAAATGAAGAAATTGATGCAAACAATAAAAAATTTAAACAATTAAAATGAAGCATATACATATAAATTACTGCAGCAAGCTTACGAACCGCAAGGAAGCAAATATACATATAAATTACTGCAGCAAGCTTACGAACCGCAAGGAAGCAAATATACATATAAATTACTGCAGCAAGCTTACGAACCACAAGGAAGCAAACATAATTTCCCAACTTGAATAAAGAGCCACTGTAGAGGGTTTGGATGGTCATTGTCCCGTAAAAATGAACTTGGCAATGGTATCTCTGGAGGCAAATGACGGTGAAATGCATCAACAGCAGCCACAACACCATCTTCATTCTCTATCAATTTTGCCACTTCCATTGCTCGAGATTTCACCTGGGAGAGTAGAAAGTTCATTAAGATTAAGCAGAACAAATTGTGCTTCTGGAAGGTGGAAAATAAAAGGAAATGTGAAGGTTTAGAACTTTAAGAACAAAATCGTTGATGACATACAGTCTACAACTTTCAAGCATAAGTTTTCATTTTCAAAATCTCATTTCATCCTCAAGTTCCCTTAGAAAACAACAGCAATTTGCAATTAACATCCATTTGCAATCTCATGTTCAACAAAACTTAACTAATTGCTCGAGCCTGTTCCAATATGTGTATGGAACCCCCAAGCAGGATCACAAAAAAACATTTCTTCGTGGACAAATTCCGTAAATGAATTAGATGTCCACAGCCACTCATCTCACCAAACTAATTTATCAAACTCACCAACAATAAAAAAGGAAAATTTTAACTCCAAAGATGCACATAGTGCACCCATGAGCTAGGATTATTGGGCTCAAAGTGAGGAAGGAATGCAACAACACTGCTTTAATACTAGAAGTGGGGCACCGGTTATGCAAAAGGGTAATACACAAAATAACTAGCTTCCTTTATTCTTGCTCGTCTTCTCCAGAGAATTTGTGAGATTGATATTAGGCTTCACTGCTGCATTAATTCCTCTGCTCATTGTTTTAAAATTTTAAGTTCTATTATTTTTTTAAATGTTGTTATAATCAAGGTTTGGAAAAGCAGTTGCAGTTGCCGTAACGATTGCAGCGGCACGGTTGCGGGGTATAAAGGCCATAGCGTAACGGCTGCGATAACAGAAACCGCAAATTTTTTTATTTTTCTCACAATTTGAAAAAAAACTTACCAATATGTTTTTCCCAGAATCATATTTATTGGGGTTTAAAATAGATTTTGATCGATTTTGTTAGTTTTTAAGTATGATTTAATATATTTCATATTTTTAAATCACTATAAAAAGAGTTTTTTACATTTTATTTCAATAGTTAATGATTCAAAGAATAATTGATTTTAAATGTCTACAAAATTATTTTTGACCAATACCTAAACTAACTAAATAAAAAATATTCACAATTATTAAATGAAATGATCATAAAAATAAAATTTGTGCCATAAAAAAATTATTTTTGAGCAATTAATTTTTATTAAATGAAATGATCATAAAAATAAAATTTGTGCCATAAAAAAATTATTTTTGAGCAATTAATTTTTGTAGACAACACTTTACAGCTTACTAAATAAAATTATTTACAATTAAGTATTAAATGAAATAATTATAAAAATAAAAATTGTCCAATAAACAAAAATTATTTTTGAGCTACTGGTTTTATTTTAGTTTTTAAAAGACATTTTTTAGACAACACATTACAATAACAAAATAAAAAATATTTACAATTAAATATTAAATGAAATTATTATAAAAATAAATACAATCACTGTTTATATATTTTTTTATTTTACATGCTAATGTAATTAAACAAAAACTAAAAAAATTATAAGGAAAAAAAAATCCATACAATGTTTTTCCTTTAGGCTTAGATCACTTGAGTATTCGTTCTTTTTTTGTAAACATTTTTTTTTTTTGGAGGAAGGGAAGGGAAGGGAAGGGAAGGGAAAGGGGGGGGGAGAAGGAAGTTATTCAGAATATTGTAAAGGTGTGTAACAGATCGTTATGGTACCGCTATGGCCGGTACATATGTAAATTTCTATCACACCACAAAAGCGGCTGTAATGGGTAGTGCCTACAGCCGCAACTGTTACGTTACAACTACAATCATTACATAACACCGCTTTTTGAAACCTTCGTTGTAATCAAGCACACTTCAAGGGATCTACAATGCTTGAGAATGTCAAGACCGCTTCGGAGCAAAGATCAAGCTTGTTGAAGCATGTGGTAGACTCAATTGTAGGTAAACTTTGGTGAAGCCCATAATTCCTATCATTTGAGTCTTGTAGTCATTTGATTCAACAGTGGATTGGTGTTGGGATCGTGGTTTTCTCCCTACAGAAGTGGGCTTCTATAGTTTCCAGGTTAAATGTTTCTTCATCGATTGCCTTTTGTTTTCTTATGAGATTTGTAGATTTGATAGTTCAATTACTCAATTGATTGATGGATGAACTGTTCAATTGATGTTTGATTGATTACTAGTTGATAAATTGAATAAAACTCAGTTCTCTTATTCACTTGTTCAAAAAAGGAGAGATAAAAATAACCAGTACTTGCAGTACTACCTAATTAAGAATTATATTTGCGGCAACTTTTCATGCTAATTAGAATGATCAATGACAATGAATGGTCTAATCCATAACATTTTCAGACGAGTTCATTTTGAGTATGCCCACTTTCACTTGCACATAAATTACCTCTGGTTTGAGCATGAATCTTATGGCATCTGATAAGGCTCCAACACTGAGCTGAGATATAGGGATTGGAGTAGGTCCCAGTCCTTTTTGATAAAGTCTATCACCCCAAAAGAACTGATCTCCGAAGAATGGAACTATGGTTGTTGGACACTGCATTTCATGATGTAGACATTAGGTAAAACCAACTACACTTCTTAGGTATTGCGTGTAGAAATGGAAATCGGTTCTTATAAAGCACAATATCAGTTTCAGGGAGGAGAAAATAAATTAATAATAAAAGAACAGCCAATGTAATCATCAAATGAGGATAGTATAATTTAGATATAATCCATCAACATATTTTTATTAGTCCTCATTCTAGTGATAACTATTTTTGCCAAAGCAATTGGAGTCTTTGCTAAATTAGATTTGAAATGTACAATTGATCTAAAGCACTAGTTGCTTAGTGAATCACTAGTTCATTGGCTATAATTGTATAGCATATTCAAGCAATCCTTAAATTGAATATAGCATATTATGAGAGTACATTAAATAACAAATCTAAATAATTTGAACCATTGAAATTTTGGTACATTTTTTTGTTAATATAAAATTGAAATATTTTACCTCCACAAACAATTTGTTAGTTAAAATATTTGAACTACTCATGAAATAAAATTTAAGATAACAATTAAGAATATGTATAGTTTTGAAATTTTCTACCTTTTCTAATAAACATTGTATTCATAAAAACAAAAAATTATTTTAATTTTTTTTGGGAACAATGGTAAGGACTTAATTAATAAACAATCATTTTAATTTTTTAACAGTCTACCGCCACATAACTACCATCTCTTGTTGCCAAGAACTATCTTTGCAAATTGCAACCATTAGAATAATCAGTTTCCTAGACATAAAACACATTTTAGCCATGTTGAAACATCATAATTATACTGATATTATTCTCATATGCAACCAATATCTAAAATGAAAAACTATGAACAAGAATGTTACCCCAGCCCTTAGTCCTGTAGCTGTGGTTCCAGCGCCACCATGGTGTACCTGCATATTTATGATATATTATTTGTTAAAATTGAATGTATAAAGAGAAATAGAGAATTGTATTATTGATTGATGTATGTTATTAATTACAAATGGTGAGGGGCTCCTTATATAGGAGATGTAGTGAGTAGGTGGTAGTGGTAGGTGTGTAGTAGGTGGTAGTAGGTGGTGGTAGGTGTAGTAGGTTGTATTATTGATTGATGTATGTTATTAATTACAAATGGTGAGGGGCTCCTTATATAGGAGATGTAGTGGAGTAGGTGGTAGTAGGTGGTAGTGGTAGGTGTGTAGTAGGTGGTAGTAGGTGTAGTAGGTGGAGTAGGTGATGGTAGGTTTTAACAGCCCCCCGCAAACTCAAGGGGGATAGGAACTAACCAACTTGAGTTTGGAGAGAGTAACAAAACAAGAAAATAATCTGAAAAATAAAAAATGGATAGGAGACACTGTATGGTCGTGTCAGACCGTTGTAGAAGACTGTATGGTTATGGCAGACCGAGATTAGGAATGAGTGTATTCGGGAATGGGTAGGAGTAGCACCGATAGAAGATAAGTTGAGAGAGAATCGTTTGAGATGGTTTGGTCATATTCAACGGAGACCAACAGAGGCAGTAGTGAAGAGATGCGATGCTGTAACGGTAGATGGAAGTGTTAGGGGACGAGGTAGGCCTAGATTAACGTTGACTAGCGTTATAAATAGAGATATGAATCTACTTAATTTGACCAATGAAATGGCCTTTGATAGGGCCGCGTGGAGAAGAAGGATTCATGTAGCCGACCCCATTTGATGGGACTTAAGGCTTCGTTTGGTTTGGTTTGGTTAGTGGAGTAGGTGGTAGTAGGTGGTAGTGGTAGGTGTGTAGTAGGTGGTAGTAGGTGGTGGTAGGTGTAGTAGGTGGTAGTAGGTGGTGATAGGTGTAGTAGGTGGAGTAGGTGATGGTAGGTTTTAACATTATTTTCATTTTTCGCACACATATCCGGTAATTTAAAATGCCTAAAAAAATTATGCATTAGTATAGCCTATGAAGCATGGATACTTCGACAAGCATGTTGTATCCGTATCGGACACTGGTACTTCATATGGTACTTTTGTATATATATTGAGTACACGAAACATATATCCAAATTTTTTTATTTTTTATTTTTGTCGTACCGCAGATGTACCTAGAATATACTCAAGTCGTACCTCAATCAAAATAGTATTTTCTTATAATACAGAGGTAAAATTAATTTCATTGGACTTTTTTATTGTTATTATGCTTAGTATGATTTCAAAATTAAGCTATGGTTTGTACGTAATTTAATATAATGATATTTAATTATGGTTTATATCTTTACTTTTGACATTAAATGTGAATTGTAGGTTGGATCATAACAAACTAAATCATTTAACTAATTTTTGCATTACTCCAAATCAAAATTAAATATTTTTCACAAATGTACCCACCCGTACCCGTACCCGTACCCTACTTTTTCTAGATGATATATCATATAACTTTAGATGTCTGTAAATTCCTCTGAATTTGTATCTAAAGAAGTAATAAATAGAAAAACAAATAACAGATTTGCTAATCTAAAGGCAGCTTGAAATACATCTCACCACAGCCAAACATTGAGGGAACAGCCAATCATGAGGGCAATCTACTAGACAAAAAACACTGTCCGGAATTCCTGGAACTGCAACACAAATTTGAAGTGAAATAGAAATCAGTTTGCTAAAAAACATGCCTGCTTTATAATTACATAAGAAGAAAAAGTAATCAAACCTAATTTTGACAGATTTTTGTATATTTCTAGATAAGATAAGTAATAATACATGAAAATTCCAGAAGGTTGAAATATAGAAAAATTGTGTTTCAAGGAATTTTCAGAACCCAATAAAATGAAATGATACAGAATCACAGAACACATGAAGACAATGGCTTATAAATGAGTGTATTTGTTAAAAATGAGAGGATGGCATCAAAGACAAAATGTGAAGCAGAACTAAGGATGGCATCAAAGGAGGAAAGGGTATTGGGAGACTGAGGAATTTCAATACACATCCCTAATCATTCTAGAATACTCAAGAAACTCTTCACCATTGGATAGGAAGATTAGAGATCTTCCCCCTACATCACAATATAATAGGATGTCAAGGTTTAACTTGTTGCATGATCATGTCCTTAGTAAATTTTTCTTTAGCAATTATGTCATTGCCATTATCCAGGTAATCAACATGTAGAGCAATTACAATTGTACGACGGATCCTTTTGATTCTTGACATAAGGGTCATAGTGGAGTGACAAACAGATTGATATAACAAAAGTTCTGCAAGAGAATTTACTTAGTATGCAATTTAATTTAAGAAAAATTTGTTTTGAACACCAATATGTTTTCATTCCACGTATAGTGTAAAACTATAAGAAATGCCCTGAGAAGTAGCAAATCAGACACAGGTCAACACAAGTACAGAACAGTTAACAGTTCAAAATGATACCAAGTTATTTTCTTGATTGAGGCAAAGGAGGAAACATGGGAGGAGGAAGATGCATCTATTTCTGGAAAGCAATATGGTCAACCATAGTTACCAATATCATATACAAGGTGAATGTATTGAAAGAGACATTTTAACCAAGGACTAGGCATCAATCATTTAACCAAAGGGGGGAGAGACACTCACGTGTACCAAGTCCTCCCCAACCTCGGTCAATTATTCCCCTTTGTCCTGTATTCTTCAACGCCTCCAAAATAATCTCTGTAGTTTTCTTGGGATCTTCAAGAAGCTTCACAAGCGATAAGTAACAAGCAATAAGTAACATATTGAATTATAACCTCTCCAAAATTTCAATAAATAGAACACATAACATCTACCAACAGTATAGCCAAGGCCTTGAAAAAAAAGTTCACAGAAAATTCAGCACACACATCCGTACGTCAACACCAAACCCCATCACCACAATAAAATAAAACACCCAATAATTAATTCACAAAAATGAAGCAAATATACTGTGCAATGAACTCTCAAATGAACAGATCAAAAACAAGATGAGGCAAGAGATATGCAAGAAGTTATACTTCTTAATATTCACGTCATATTCATATAGCAAGAAAACAGTCTAGATTCACTGGAAAGGGAGATGATTTTGCAACACTAGAATCCATGACTGGGATACGATTAACGCCAAAATTTAATTACTTAATCGTCGTCAACTGCATGTATTTTTCATAAACAAATAAATTAAATCTATACCATAGTTTTACCATTTTGATTTGCTTTCCTGCATGTTGAGATAAAGTTTAAAAAAAACATAGGAATTTTCTTTGTCTCAAGTCTTATTTAGTTATTTTTTAAAATTTTCAAGTTCTTTAACTTTGTTTCTATAACATATGGCTCTCTTTCAAAATATTTATAATTTTTTTACTATGTCATTTACTTTAATTCTTGATTTGATTCTAAATTTCAAATGACTTGAATCTGATAGCCCTCACGCCAGTCTTACCAAGAATCCCAATTCACGAACCTTGATAAGCAGTCTTTCACTCAATTGTGCCTCCAGCTACAGGCTGAAGTAGTTTACTCTTTAGCTTTCTTGATGTTACACCTTTGTGCAGTTAAATGAACAAATTATGAAAAAATATCATAACCAAATTGGTGATACCTTGATTTTTCTTTCTTTCTTTATCTATTTGCTTCACTGCCCACTTTAAAGCGTGACACAAATTTAATAGTGAACAAATTACATTCATAGAAATCCTTCATTCACTTTCCGTTCCTTGACCAGCATAGCTGCTGAGCAATGACGCTCTAACTGAAGTATTCCACAGGTGGAAGGAAGGGCATACTGATTCAAAGTGGCTAAAATGGCATTCACTATGGAAGAAGCACATAACACCATCCTAACCACTAATGCAACCTTTATGACTCCATAGCTAACACCAAATGACCTAAAACCCGCTGCCACATGTATATAACTCATATGTAGTCCACCACCATTGCAAATTCTGTGAGTTCCAACTGATTAAACATTCAAAATACAATGCAATTTTCATTGCTAGACCCATTAAATGCATCCAAGAAGATCAAGGTTAGGCAAATCTGAACACAAATGATGCAATGATAAACTATAAAAAATGTCAAAATATTGTTAAGTTAGACAAAATGCTTTTAAGTTCAAATAATTTGGAGAAAAATATAAATTAATTCATTCATTTAAAGTAAAAAACACATTAGGTAGATGAAACTGTTGTACTCGGTCATAACTGTGAGCTTGTTCCATCTTCTCCTCCTGCTTCACCTCTAGTTGCTTCTCCTTCAGTTTCTCTTCCTCCTCCGTTGTTAATTTATTCTCATCGCAAGGCTCCTTCTCTACTGGTTCTCTCTACCCCTGTTGCTGATTCTCCTGCTTCTGACGACCCTGATTCTGCTGCACACCGATATCCTACTCGAGCACGTCATCCTCTAAATAGGTTGGGTTGATCTAATACATGTTTTTCTGTTTCCTATCGTACATTTTTGTCTACTATTCATCTTTTTTAGAATCTCAGTCTTACAAGGAGGCCTGTCAAGATCCTTATTGGGTTCAAGCTACGGAGGATGAGCTATCTGCTTTACAGAAAACTAGTACTTGGGAGTTGGTTCCTTTGCCTGCTGGTAAGAATCTGATTGGTTGCAAATGGGTCTACAAAGTCAAAACTCATTCTGACGGTTTTCTTGAGCGTTACAAAGCTCGTCTGGTTGCCAAAGGTTTCTCACAGGAGTATGGTATTGATTATGAGGAGACCTTTGCTCCTGTTGCCAAGATGACTACTGTCCATACTTTGATTTTTGTCGCTACTGTTCGTTCTTTGCCTCTTTATCAGATGGATGTTAAGAATGCTTTTCTTAATGGCCATCTCACTGAGGAGGTTTACATGCGTCCTCCCCCTGGCCTTCCCCATTCCTCTGGACAGGTTTGTCGCCTTCAACGTACTCTGCATGGCCTGAAACAGTCTCCTCATGCTTGGTATAATCGCTTTCAGACTGCTGCTACCGCGCTTGGGTTTCATCCTTCTGCTTCCGACTCTGCTTTGTTTCTGAGACATACCTCAGTTGGTTTTGTTGCTCTCCTACTTTATGTGGATGATATGATCATCACTGACTCTGACTCTTCTGTTATCTCTAAGGTCAAGCAACATCTCTTCCGCACCTTCAAAATGAAGGACCTGAGTCTATTGCGGTATTTTCTTGGTATTGAGGTTGCCACTTCTCCAAAGGGCTACTTTCTGTCTCAGGTCAAGTATGTTAATGAGGTTATTCACCGTGTTGGTCTTATTTCTACTAAGGTATTTGATACACCTCTTGAGCTTAATGTGAATCTCAACTCTACTGATGGTATCCCTCTGCATGATTCCACGATCTATCGCGAGCTTGTGGGTTGTTTAGTTTATTTGACTGTCACTCGCCCTGATCTTACTTATGCTGTTCATGTGGTTAGTCAGTTCGTTTCTGCTCCTCGCTCTACCCATTGGGCTGCTTTGGTTCGCATTCTTCGCTATCTCCGGGATACCATCTTTCAGGGTTTACTATTGTCCTCTACTTCCTCTTTAGACTTGGTGGCCTATACTGATACTGATTGGGCTGGTGATGTTAATGATCGCAAGTCCACCTCTGGTTTCTGTATGTTTCTTGGCGATTCCTTGATCTCCTAGAAAAGCAAGAAACAAACTGTTGTTGCTCGCTCTACTACCGAAACTGAGTACCGTGCTATGGCTCATGCTACTGCTGAGCTTGTTTGGCTTCGTTGCCTTCTCTCTGATTTGGTTGTCCCTTAGTTTTCTCCGACCTCGCTATTGTGACAACCGCAATACTATTCAAATTGCCCACAATACTGTCTTCCATAAACGGACGAAACACATTGAGATTGATTGTCACTTTGTCCGACAGAATCTACAGTCTGGATCTTTCTTGCTTCCTTTCGTCTCCTCGGCTTTGCAACTTGTAGACTTCTTCACCAAGACTCACTACCGCTCGGTTTCAGTTTCTTCTTAGTAAACTCTCAATGTTTTCTGCTAAAATGCCTTAAGTTTGAGCGGAGATGTGAAAATATATTGTGTAACTTACGACTATTATGTAAATATGGAATTAGGTTGCTATGTAATTATGGAATGCTATGCAAATATGGAATTAGGTTTGTATTTCCTATTCTAGATTAGGCTTAGGATTCCTATAAATATTGGTTGTAATCTTTGTATTATTTACAAGTTGAATATACAGATCATACAGAAAGGCTTACAATAACATGAAGGATTAAACCCTAATAATCTAATGATTGGTAGCCAAAAGAATAACTACACTTGCGAATGCAAATTATATTTCTACATAGTTTTAAGGGGATCACCGTACCATGCTCCCAAAACCAATATATATAGGTTGAGGTCCTTTTTTAATCCATCGAACAAAATCTTCAGGAGGTTGATAATTTAACCCAAGGTTTAGGAAACAATAACCACCAACATCAACCAGGGGACCCCAATCTGCACGTTAGTCAGATGAAATCAATCTTTTAGTGAGTTGTTACTCTACAAATCATAGATATTTCTGTTCTGCATAAAAAAAAAAGAAATCACATGGAGTAAAAGGCTTGGATGTAGCAGTAGATATGACAATCATATTGGGAACCAAAAAAATATCTCTTTACATGACAAGATTTTAGCATCAATCACAAAATTGAGCAAATTTGTACCATCATTTAGAGTGCACAAGTTGCATTCGGAGAATGTAAAACATTATTAATATAGATTCATCACATAGGTTGTGTTTGGGGGACTCAAGAAGTGTCACTGAAGTGTAAGATAAGTGTCAATAAAGTATCCAATATTTTGAATTAAATTTTTCATTAAAACATGTAAAGAAGTGTCAAATGTACTTTTAGGAGTGTCAACAGAGTGTTGTGTCCAACATGACACGCCTCCTTCATAGAAGTGTATGTGCTTCTTAGTCTAGAACAAATGCTATACTGGTAAATATAATATATAAATCCTACCATATAGTCCAGTATAGGGGAAGCAATGTGAATATATGTGGTGAACTGACAACAATAAAACAAGCCACAAATATGGAAGACAAGTAAGCTCCCTTGAATACCACTCTCTGGAAGCTAAATTAGAACCAAAGAGGTGCAAGTAAAATTATTGAGAAATGGGATAATGCTTAACCATCAAAAGACTCATTGACCAAGCATTCAGTAATAAGCTTGACATGCATCTGCCCATAATGATGCAAAGAAAACAGGCTAAGAAGACAGCTGTGTTATTATGTTTGATGTCGATCATTTGCGGTGGGCACAATAGGATGAGGATTTTTTAGGAGGTGGAGCAACCTCTGTTTGGAATAAAAAGAGGAATGTTTCCCCATCCCTTGATGATATTTACAATTTCAGTGTCTTTTGGGGGAGGAGTATCTGCATAGCAGATTTTTCTTTTGGTGTTTTGCTCTCTAGTTGTATGCGGGTGGCACCCACTCCAGACTTGTTAATAAGACTTTATTTGTCAAAAAAGAAGATAGTTATGCAAGTAAATGACTACATTAGAAATACAAAAAATTAGACAACATTGGAGGATGTCCTTCAGGCATTACAGAAGAAATGTACAATATCATCCTTACCACTTGGCTTTGGCACAACATGGGGACTCCACATATAGGCTGTTGGTAAATAAGATATTGACCCATGGTACCAACTGAAGTATGCAATAGGAGCAAGCTTCAACTTCTTTGTCCTTAAGTCATTAATAAATCCCCTTATGCCCCACCATATCAGTAAATCAACAACTATATATGATAGCTGGACCCAGCAAGAAAAAATTAGAGAATATTTCATTGGTAAAATTTAAGTCAAAGCTCTTAAATTGGGAAATCAAATGCAGAACAAATTATCAGACAAGAACATACCCAATAACCAGCACTTTGGGGTACACGTATCAATGGATGGGGAAATTCATTTGTTGGCCTGCCTATTGAAAAAGGATGTAAGAGGCCATTGTCTAATGAAATTAAAAAAAATAAAAATAAGGATCAGAAAAAAGGTTTGACACAATCTAACCAATGGTTAGAATTAAAATCATATGACTTTCAAAATCAATAAGTGCACATTGGCTCGGCACTGTGCATTTGTTTTTCATTTTAAAGTGCCAATATCACATATTGGGACACGTTGCACATTCTAGGAAATGTGCAAGTGCACACAAGTATCCTTTCTCCTGCTTTCCATATTTCCATGTTGAGGGAGCTAAAAATTTGTCAGTCCTAGCAGAAAGTACAAACAGTTGCACCCTAGACATCTTGTCACACCAAACAAAGAATTCTACAAGCAGTGGTGTAGAAAATAACATATATAAATTATCCTAAATTTTGAAGTAAGAAAAATTTTGCTTACAGCTAATGGTGTTGTTTTTGAACTTTCTGCTACAACAATTTTTCAGTAAGATTTGTTAAATATAAGACCATGACCGATAACTTGAGAAGTACAGACACTCAACACAAACATGCCAACATGACATGTTCAAAAAAAAATGTTAGATACGACAAATGTATGTCAAGAAGTTTCGTATTTGAGATTAAGAAGTGTAATAGATCCTTCAGCTAGAGATCATGGGTTGAGATTTGAATTTCATAATCAATATCTCATTAATTGAGATAGTATGTTGATGATTAATTTAGCAGCTGTTTACAAATTTATAGCATCCGCTATTTCAGATTATCTTTTATTTTATTTATTTTTATTGGCAGTGGGGTGGCCGGATCAAAACCCGACTAATCCCCAGGGGTGCACAGGCCCTCGGCAAGGAGTTTCTCACAAGTGCACCATGGTTAATTCAAAGGTTTTCCCCAAGTCCGATGGCCCCAAGGATTTGTTAGCACCTAAGAGGCTCCCAAGACCCAAGGCCTTGCCACTAGGCCAACCCCTTGACAAAAGGGTATTGCAGACTGATCATCTTCACAACCCTTACCATGTGGGGTTGGGGACATAACATATGCAGCCATCACAGTATAACACATTGAACATCCAAAATTTTCCTCATTATATTAGAGCAAATAAAACAAAAGTTCCCCAAGTAAATTAAGCCTGCACCAATTACCAAGCAAAAAACAACTTCAGAAAGTAACAATGAGCTCAGTGCTCATTAACAAACTATAAATGTCATCCAAAACAAAAATAAACATGAAAAATAAAAAGAAGGCCAGATTTCCTTTCAAAGTGGCAAAATGTATTTCTTGTAACATTACCCTAAAAAACATGGAAAAATCACAAACATTACAGAATTCAAGGACAAAAATTTTAACTAATACTCACGTCCAAGGAATTGTGAAGAAAATGTGGAGGGGTACACCAAGAGCTTCAGCAACATGTGCATGTCCTGCAAGCCAGAAGGACATATTAAATGCTTGGGGTACACTAATCAGGAAAAGATATTTAGTGCTCATGAAACTTACTTAACTTTTTAGTCCTTATGAAACTTATTTAACTTCTTATCATTATCAGTTATTTAACAAAATAAAAGTTAAGCCTTCCTTTAGTCATTATTAGCACTGAGTGCTTCTATTTTACCTGTAAATATTTGGGAATTTTTATAATAGGCACTAGAGCTTTTGGTTCCCATTTCTTTTCCAAGTTATGAACATAGAAAATGAATATTTTGTTATTATCGTCATATGATATACAAAATAAGTGTATTTATTTCTTGTCATGTCCCTATTGTGCTCATGCCCTAAATATTTGAAAATAGCCTCATTAACGTGTCTATATCATAATGTATCCATGTCCATACATCTTAAACATTGACACAGCCAAAAATCTATACAACCAACTTTCAAAATTTTGGTTTTAGTTTTAGTTTTATTTTTTTCCCCCGGGTAACAAGGTGTTTGCATTTCTTCAAGGACACACTGGCAATGACCTTTAGTGGGGGAGGGCACAACTCAAACTTAAGACTCCCAGTTCCCAAGGCAGAATCCTACATATCTTGTCCACCCCTCAGGATTAGCTAAACTTACTATTTTTATTAAATAAATAAAAAGTTGGCAGAAATAATATTTTAAGAAGGAAGAAAATAAATAAATGAGCATTACAAATTCAATTTGTGCGAACTCACCACAGGCAAGCGGATTTGCAATAATTGCCTGAGCTCTAAAAGCCTGACCAGTTTCTATATCTGGTCCACTACATGCTGGAAGAAGAGATTCAATAATGGCCTTTATTTGCTTTCTCTGCATCAACATTTCTCCTGGTGCAGATGGAATTAAACCTTTATTCTTGGCCATATCTAAAATTGTGGCAAAAAAAAAAAAAAGAAGAAGAAGAAGAAGAAAAGAAAAGTAAAGAGAAGAGAGAGAGAGAGAGAGAGAGAGAGAGAGAAGGCAAGGAAAGAAACCACAGCTTAGTTCGTCTAAAGTATTGACGGTATCAAACATGTTTAATACATTCTAGAAACAGGTTCAGAATTGGCAGTATGAAGTCTAATCTAAGGAGGTTGAAATCTCAAGATTGTAATAAGAGCTGCAGTTAATGGCATATTATTGATTTGAACAAATCATTGGTCATAAAGAACTGGGCTCTGCACATACATCAAAACCAAATTAAAAACAAATAAATAAGAAATAATGATACGATGCATTTCGCCGCAAGTTCCTAAAGGTCGCATAAGATTAAAAACTAATCCAAGTAAAACAAAATCTGGGGCCTAGATTAGAAAGTGGCAACTGAAAAAGGTAATGCATATTAAGAAAACAAATTGAAAAAAAAAATGGAAGTCAAGGACGTCTTACATCTTGCCAAAGCCCGAGAATCACCGCCCAAAGGGTAAAAGTCTATTCCGGCTGACTTTACAAAAGTGGAGAAGTTAACATGAGTTGCCAACCTAACATGATGACCAAACTCCTGCAGGTAAACACAGAATCAGCTTACATCAAAACAAACACTAACGTTAATATATATATATATATGAATAACAACAACAATAATGAAAAATACTGGTAATAGTATCTTCCTCCCGTAAAAAAAGAAGTGGAGGATACATGAGATTAACCTAGGTACCTGATTTTTTGCACTGCAGAATGTAAAATAAGACATTTATTAAATACAGTACTAAGATTAGGCATTAGAGCCACATAATACAAGTTTGCACCATTTTTCTTCCTTTCTCTGCTTCTTGTTGCTCCCCACTTGTTTTAAATACTTAGATATACTCAACTGGGGCTTCAAACTTTTAAGATTCAGGCTTGATTTTGCCATCTATGATTATGGTTCTTCTTGGTGCTGATGCTGGTTGCTTCAGATAAACATACTTGGTTGATTTAAGGTACTTTTCTTCATTTTTGTGGTGATTTATTGTTATACCATGGGTGGGAATTACAAAGATCCTCCATGCCACTCTTTTTGGGAGGGACCAGTGAAAATCAACAAACTAGCAACTAGTATTGCTATGTTATTTGTACTATCATTGAACCAACAAATATAGCCGTTGATTGCTTTTTCTTATGAATTATATATTGCACTTGAGTCAAACATACCTGAAGCCTCTTTGCCACAGCCAAAAAAGGCTGAACATCTCCTCTTGTCCCAACCACAACCATAGCAATTTTCAATTTTGGAACTGATTTATTAAATTCAGGGGTGACGTGATCAATATTACAAGGTGGACCTTCAACAGACTTAGGTTCTGACATTTTTGAAGCAACAGGTGCACTCTTAGATAGATCAAGCTCCAATGTACTGTCATTTTGAATCTTTACCAGGTTCAGAATGAAATTTTCCTGAGAACAAACATAAGAAGGGTAAAAAAAATAATAAAAACTTAATATACTAATACACTAAAAACACAGGACTTCTACGGGAGGACAGAAGTGATAAACATGAGTAGTGCGTTTCTCGAGTAACTACTTGACAGAAAGCTTAGCTTAAAGCATATTTACAAGATATAACAAACAATAAAATCACATCAACTAATCAGCATTCAACCAATAAAGAGAAAACAACATATCTAGAGATGAATCAGCTTTTACATGAACCGTATGACACGTGCTCCTCTCTTCCTTCCAAGGTACCAGTGATGACACAATATGACAAGGGTATCAGATATGTGTCCAACCTTAATACCCAAATCTGGTACCTGAAACCTACATTTGATCATGGAAAAAGAAAAAGAAGTTGTGCTTCTCACGTGTGTAGGGAAATAAAAATTCCTTTTTTCCCATTGAATTCATCTTATGTCAAGTATACTTTTAACTAATAGCAGCATACTACACTACAGTTTAATGCACAATCGATGTATTTGAATGTGGAGGAAACGCACACATGTACCAATACGCAACTTTTGGATACATATTCTGTGAGAATATTATTGTAATTATAGAAATATATCAATTAGGTTGATTATATATTTTAGATTGATTGTGTAAATATTAGATTGATTGTATAGGATTATTATTTCCTATTTCAAATTAGGTTTAGGATTGCTATATATATCGGTTGTAATCTTTGTATTAGCAACAATTCAATATACTGAAATCATTCAGAAATCTTGCATGATATCAGAGCTAAGTGTGAAACCATAACAGAAATGGCAACTGGTTCTCTGGTTTTGAGCTTTGGTTCAATCGATTCCTCTGATTCTGTTCTCTAGCTTTGATTGAGTTGATCCTCTGTCTCATCAAATTTGTGCAACCCATTTGAGTTTGAATCAAGACCTATCAATCGCAACCCAACCCCTCTGAGTTTGGTTTGCGTCTGATTTGTGGTCGTCGGCTATTATCGATAGTGATTTTTTGGTTCAAATTTGGGTGATCTTTGGAGTCACATTTTTCATCGGAATCTCGACTTTGGTTGTCGTTGGAGTTCCTACATCAGTTCAGTAGCCTCTCTGGTTTGACTTCATCGCGATCTCTCTCTCTTACTGTTTCTTGCCTGTTCACGACCTGGTTCCCTATCGCGACATCTCTCTCTCTTGTTCTCTCTGAGTTGTGACCTCGTTCTGGTTCTCTCACTTGTTCTGAGTCGTGATCTAGGTGTTCCTCTTTGACTGTGATGTGGACAAATCTTGTTTAGACCAAACAAGTTTTTATATTATTACACTTTGATCACAACCATACAAATCTTGTGTTTCTATGGTTCTGGCATTCTTTGGGTTTATTACATTTTGACCCATCAGTTTGTAGTTTATTACACTTCAGTCCATCAGTTCTCTTTTCAATCTCTGGTTCGTACCAATGTCAACGGCTAAGATTATTAGGCCTAAAAATAGGCCACTGGCTTCAGGTAAGTGTGCTTTCTGCCATCAGAAAGGTCTCCTTCGCCTGTGTCTGCCTCGTCTTCCCAGCAGTTTCCGATCTAATTCCACGCCCCTCCTTTAAGTACCGTTCGGCCTCCCCCCAGTTCTACTGCATTTGCTCCGACTCCTGATCCTGATTTGGCTTCCTTGAGTGCTCAGATTAGTCAACTTCAGTATACACTATCTACCTCTCAGCCATCCCCGTCTATCTCCATTGTTTTCTCTCTTCATTCAGGTTTGCTTGGGTCTTCTTCAGGTATCTCTTCGTCTGTCTGGATTTTTGACTCTGGTGCCTCTCATCATATGACTCCTCATCTCTTTTTACTTCAAAATTATACTCCTCCTCCCTTTCCTATTACTGTTTATGCTGCTAATGGGTCTAGTATGTCTGTGATGTCTGTTGGGTATGTTCTACTGTTAGCTATGTCTGTTATCTCTATTCCATAAGTCCTTTATGTTCCTCAGTTATCTGTTAGTTTATTAACTATCAGTCAGCTTAATGCCTCTGGTTTTGATGTTATCTTTTCTTCTTCTATCTGTTATGTGCAGGATCGGATGTCCAAGCAAGAGATTGGGAACAGCCGTAGAGTTGTAGATCTCTATGTGGTGGCGAACTTGCATCTGCCTCTAGCAACCTCTCTGACTGCTTTTTTCTCTTTTTAGTTAGATTCTTTGTCCAATCCTTTCTACTTGTGGCATTCTAGATTAAGGCATTTGTCTGTTGACCGCTTACGATCTTTAGCTCAATCAAGTATATTGGTTAAAGTTTCTCCTAGTGAACTTACTGAATGTCGGGGTGTAAACTTGCCAAAATGACAGCCTTACTTTTTCGTAAAAGTATTTCTATATCTGATACACTGTTTTCTTTAGTTCATACTGATGTTTGGGGCCCTTCTCCTGTTCTCACCAAAGAAAGTTCTGCATATTATGTGTCATTTGTTAACGACTTCATCCGTTATACTTATGTTTATCTTATGACTCATAAGTCCGATTTCTATCAGATAAACCATACCTTTCAATCTATGATTACTACTCAGTTTGGGTCTACAATTAAAGTGTTACGGTCTAACTTGGGTGGGAAATATTTTAAAAATGAGTTCGGCTAGTATTTGGCCAATTTGGGTACCATTCACCAAACTTCCTGTACAGATACACCTGCCCAAAATGGTTGAGCCGAGCGTAAACACCGTCATCTCCTTGAGACAGCTAAGTCTCTTCTTCTCTCTACCTCAGTTCTAGCTCCATTTTGAGGGGAGGCAGTTCTTACTGCTGCTTTTTTTCTCAACCACATGCCTACTTCCCTTCTTTCTGATCGGTCTCCTTATGAGAGTTTGTTCTCCCAAATTCCTAATTACTTCACCCTTCGTGTGTGTTAGTTCTGCCTGTTTTGTCCTTCTTTCCCGCAAAAATCGAACCAAACTTAGTGCCTGGCCTGTCTCTATGTCTTTTTGGGTTATAGTCTTACTCAGAAAGGTTATCGGTGTTACGACCCTATTTTTCGTCTTCTTTATGTCTGCCGTCATGTTTCTTTTCTCGAACATCGGCCTTATTTTCAGCTTCCTCCTATCACTGCTTCAGTTTCTAAGGTAGATTTGGTTCATATTGATCCATTTCCTTTTGAGATCCCTCCTGATGAGTGCATCTCTACCGTTTCCCTTCAACTTGTTCCCTTTTCTCCTCCTTCTCCCCAGCCTAGTCCTCCTTATCCTCCTCCATTGTTAGTTTATTCTCGTCGCCAGGCTCTCCCTCCACCAATTGTCTCTGTTGCTACTGCTGATCCTCCTACTTCTAACGACTCTGATCCTACTACACACCGATATCTTACTCGAGCACATCATCCTCCAAAGAGGTTGGGTTGATCCAATACATGTTTTTCTGCTTCTTATCGTACTTTTTTGTCTGCTATTTATTCTTTTTCAGAACCTCAGTCTTATAAGGAGGCTTGTCAAGATCCCAATTGGGTTCAAGCTATGGAGGATGAGTTGTTTGCCTTGCAGAAGACTAACACTTGGGCGTTGGTCCTATTACCTGCTGGCAACAATCTGGTTGGTTGTGAATGGGTCTATAAAGTCAAGACTCATTCTGATGGTTCTCTCGAGCGATACAAAGCTCACCTCGTTGTCAAGAGTTTCTCGCAAGAGTATAGTATTGATTATGAGGAGACCTTTGCTCCTGTTGCCAAGATGACTACTATTCGTACTTTGATCTCTGTCACTGTTGTTCGTTCTTGGCCTCTTTATCAGATGGATGTTAAGAATGCTTTTCTTAATGACCATCTCAAAAAAGAGGTTTACATGCGTCCTCCCCTAGTCTCCACCATTCCTCTGGATAGGTTTGTTGCCTTCGGTGTGCTCTGTATGGTCTGAAGCAATCTCCTCGTACTTGGTATGATCGCTTTCAGACTATTGTTATTGCACTTGGATTTCATCCTTGTGCTCAGGACTCTGCTTTATTTTTTCTCCACACCTCTGCTAGATTTGTTGTCTTATTACTGTATGTGGATGATATGATCATCATTGGCTCTGACTCTTCTGCTATCTCTGAGGTCAAGCAGCATTTTTTCTGCACCTTTGAAATGAAGGATCTGGGCCCCTTGTAGTATTTTTTTGGTATTGAGGTAGCCAATGATCCTACTGACAAATCTAACTGCACCTTTTTTTTGGTATTAGAAATCTCAGGCTAAGAATGCCAATAAGGTTGTTCATCGTGCCGATCTTACTGATACTAAGATTTCTAATACCCCCATTGAGCTTAATGTGAAGCTCACCACTACTGATGGTGTTCTTCTAGATGATCCTACTTTATATCGAGAGCTCGTGGGTTGCTTAGTCTATCTGATGGCTACTTGCCTTGATCTTGCCTATGTTGTTCATGTGGTTAGTTAGTTCGTTTCTGCTCCTCGTTCTACACATTGGGTTGCTTTGGTTCGGATTCTTTGCTATCTCCGGAGTACTATATTTCAGGATTTACTGTTGTCTTCTACTTCCTCTTTGGACTTGGTAACTTATGCTGATTTTGATTGGGCTGGTGATGTCACTGATCGCAAGTCCACTTCTAACTTCTGCATATTTCTTGGTAATTCCTTGACTTCTTAGAAGAGCAAGAAACAGACTGTTGTTTCGCATTCCACTGCCAAGGCTAAGTACCGTGCTATGGCTCATGTCACTGCTGAGATTGTTTAGCTTCGTTATCTCTTGACGGATTTGGGTGTCCCTCAGTCTTCTCCGACCTCCCTTTACAGTGATAACCGCAGTGCTATTCAGATTGCACATAACATTGTCTTTCATGAGCAGACGAAGCACATTGAGATTGATTGTCATTTTGTATGTCAGCATCTGCAGTCTGGCTCCATCTCGCTTCCTTTCATCTCTTCGGCATTGCAACTTGCTGATTTCTTTACGAAGACTCATACCACTACTCACTTTCAATTTCTTCTTCCCAAAGTCTCAGTGTTTTCTGCTAAAACACCTTGAGTTTGGACGGGGGTGTGAAAATATTATTGTAATTATGGAAATATATCAATTAAGTTGATTGTATATTTTAGATTGATTGTGTAAATATTAGATTGATTGTATAGGGTTATTATTTCTTATTTCAGATTAAGTTTAGGATTGCTATATATATCGATTGTAATCTTTGTATTAGCAACAATTCAATATACTGAAATCATTCAGAAATCTTACAAATGCATCCTAAGGCTTCAAGTTTGGGAGAACTAATGATGATGATAAGAAATATTATAGTCATGAACCGTAAAATATGTGCATCCTAAGGCTTTGAGTTTGGATACATATTCATACATCCTACCAACTAGACACACACCCTCACCTGATGCTCATACTAAGCCTGTGTACTATAGATCATGAAATAATGATGAGAAATATTTAGAATAGCATAATTCTTGCTCCAGAACCAATAGCTAAGTGGTCTAGAATATCATACCACTAAATAACATCATCTACAACAAACTCATCAAGAGATAGCAATGAAAACATTAGGAATCAACAAACAAAATGTGCATTAAACTGATAAAATAATCCCATCTATGCTTGTTTAATTAGGGATTTAAACATGTCAAGACACCACTTAGTAAAAATAACATTCAAATGTGTAATCTTCAAATTAAACAGGTCATTCGTGTCAACTTCATGTTATGTAGGTTCAATGCTGATCTAACCTGATTATTTGTCGTGTCATCGTGTTGTGTCACAATCGGGTTCGTGTCAAAAAATGGCTAACCCTAACCCGCTAAGTTCATGTACGGTTAACGTGTCACGTTGGAAATTCTCACCCCTAATGTTTATGATATACATATGTATTTGTAAACCATTGTTGATTGTTTTTTATGTATTTGTGTAGAGATGTGAAAATAGAATGCATAAGCAGTTGAATACTTCAATATATGCAGTCAATGTTATGATATTCACCTTCTCAAGGTCTGACAGTCTATCCATAAAGAGATTTTTGTGAGAGCCCTCAGGTGCAGTGATGCAATGGTCCAAACCTTTAAGAAATTAATACCACAATATCAGCGAACGCATAAAAACAACAATACAGCCCAAAAGAAAAAGGGAACAGTTCTAAACCACATAGAAGTGGTTCAAGATATCAAACCATAACTAAAGTCAGGTGCTCAGATATAAATCTGTGGCATTGAAACAAATGAGTCATAACATTTTGAGGCTACACCACCAGAGTTTGAATTTTTATTCACTAATACATGAATTTTTTTTCTTAGGAAGCTACTTTTGGTTGTCAAGCGTTAAAACCTTTTTTTTTTTTTTTTGATGATGAATTCAAGCGTTAAAGACATTTGATTTCAATGTATTGTAAATTGAATATAGTGGTGGTGGTGGGTTGAAGACGGCAGTGTTTGACACAGTGGATGGGAGGAAGACAGTGTAATGGTAGGCGGGTATAAAAGTCCTTTTATATTATCCGTTCATAGTGTTAATTGTGCACTTTAATCTCAAACCAGAAACTTTGCAGATTTTTAAATGATATAGGGTCAAAGAAGATTTCACTCAACTTTTTACGGACAGTTTAGAGAGTTTGTATTACTTGTGGGAATGGGATAAACTAAAAGATCTAGCACACTTATTTTGAAGGTGAATTTCAATATGAAGAAAGTGCTATAACTATTTGGATTGGTAAGCTTAATGTTAGATCTCCACATTCATAAATGAGAAAAAAAAAATATATATATATATAACAAAATAAAATAAATCAAACAAAAATTGCATGTACCAACCCCTCCAAATCCAAGGTAAACAAGTAACACTCAACTCCTTCGATTGAGAATATCGAAGAACAGCGATGACTGCTGCAGCGGATTTGTCAGAAATCTAACTGTTCATTTTTAGACTTACTCTCCACTACCATTTCACTGATCCTCTCATCCTCTGCCCCCATTGAAAGCACTAGCACCAAGAAGAAGGCAAAGACAGGACACAGAAACTCAAAACCCATACATTTGAATTTCCCAATTCACCCAAAAAATGACAATGGAAGAAGGCAAAGACAGGACCCAGAAGTTCAAAACCCTCTGGTTCTTGAGATCCAAATTTTGAAAGTTTCCCAAGGTGAGAGCTGGAAACGTGAAAGAATCCAAAAAACTCAAATCAGAATGAATCTAAGATGTCAAGCTCTATTTCATAAATATATATATACCAGACAAAGAAAGCAAAGTTAGAGCTGGAAATGTGAAAGAATCCAAGAAAGTCAATGGAAGTTGAGTATAAATCAAAATCTCAAGCTGTGTTATTCCATATATAAATAAATAACTCAAAAAAAAATGGTTAGAGCTGGAAGAGTGAAAGAATCAACTAGAGATTTTGATTTATACATTACTATCAATCATTGGCTTTGGCTTTAAAGCAACCACAAACTCATCCCCACTCCAAATTGAAAGAACAGATAAGCATTAACATCACCACCACAAAAGATAGAAACAGAACTATATTTATATCTACAAATAACAACTTTACAAGAAACACAATAAATAAATAGCCAAAATAACAATCAAATTAAACTTCTCAAAATGACCTGTTCAAAATTAGAAACTCGATTGAAGGCATTAACTTTGGGTCTTTTGAATATGTAAATGGGGCAGGGGGAGGGAAAAAGAACCCTAATTTTGGGAAGTTGGTTGTTTGTTTCCCGGGAAAGTACGCTGGAGGCAGAACTTGAAGGTGGATGTGGTGGTACGCGAAGCTTCGCGCTGATGGGTTTTGGAGGAACATTGACATTTTTGTATTCGTTTTGGAGGGTTTTTGTAAAAGCCCTTTGTTTTGAACTTTTCAGGGTACAGGGGTCGACCGTTTGGTTTTTGCAATAGCATGCAGTGCCCGCGATTTTATAATTTACGATCAAAAATGGTTTGTTTTTTTTTTAAGTTTTAAAATTAGATAATTTTTATGTAGATAATATTTTTGATAAAATTATAAGGGAATTTTGTTTAAGGTTCGTATCATTAAAATTTTATATGATAAATAATATGTAATATTTTTATATTGGTATCTCTAGATATTTTTTCAGAGAAATTTTCATCTAGAGAAATTTCAAATCTTGCTTGAAATTTCAATGATTTGCTCAATTTTTCTGATTTTCTTGTATTTTCAAAAAAATTTGTGATTTAAAATTTCTTTTATTTGAAATTTATTTGATTTACTCACAATTTTTACTGTGCTTTGACCAATTCTCTCTAACTTAATTTCTTCTGTATTTTGACCAAATGAAAATGTATATAGAGAGACCGTTACAGTCCTAAAATCACCAATTCTCTACACAACTTCCATGACTGCAATTACAGGAGTTTCAACACCTCTTCAATCAAACCTTCATTTCTCTCCATTTTCATCACCTTTACATGTTTCTTTCTCTAATCTCACTTCCACCACACCCAAAAAATCCAAACCCTACCCTAACCACCACCACTCTCTTCTCTTTAACCACCTTCAGATCCGCCATAGTGTCACCGTCAAAACTTTTTGGCGACGAATATCGATCTCTCTAGCAACACCACCTTGGAAATCAAAATCAAGCCAAAAGAAATTTTAAATAACCAAGCAGACAACAAATCCTCATAGTGAGAATGAACAAGTATTAAGAATGCAAAACAATTGCAAAGTCCAACAAATTAAATAGCTAACGCAACACAGTAAAAGAAATATAAACAAATTAAACAATATCAACACTAACTCAATTCACATCAAATTCGATAAATCATGCAAATAGAAGAAGAAACCCAGTGCGTAATTGTTAAAATATATCATCACCTACCACCTCCACTCAACTCACCTACCACACACACTCACCTACTCCCCAATCCTCTCCTATATAATGAGTACCTCACCATCTGTAATTTACATATCAATCAAATATCAATCAATAATACATCAATATATATACATAATTTGTTTTCTCTCTTTCTATATATATTAATTTTAACATGGTATCAGAGCAGGTTTAACAACCTAATATTTTTCTTGACCGGCGGGCGGCAACTTCGCCTTGGCCGCCCGCCGGACCTCAACCTAGTCCCCTAGAATTTTCTACACATACCTTCCACTCTCCACAGCCGTAACTCTGCAAGAAGAGAAGCTTCGCTCCATCATTTCCTTCCACAAATCTTCTTCGTGGCTTTCGAGCTCGTCTCTCACTATCTCGTGCAATCTATCTTTGCACTTCATCGCCACATGTGAGCAACCGTGGCCGTCAACATCCAATTTCTGACGTTTTCTACCGTTCTCCGGCAACGGCACCGCCATATCTGCTGCGAGAATCTTCAGCTGGTGAATTTCCATCCTCCGTCGTCGTCTCAGTCTCGCCAACAACTCTGCAACACATCCCCGCCAACAACTCTCTCTCTCTCTCTCACTCTCTGCGTTCTCTTTCTTCTGTGGTTCAGATCTCTAGGAACAATGGGAAAGAAGAGGAAACATAGTGAAGCAGAGGTTGCTGTAACTGTAAAAAAGGATGAGAGTGCTGAAGAGAGGCCTAAAAGAACACTTTTGGGTTGGAAAGATAAAGATAAGATTGAAGAGAATACAGTTTTTAGAAATAAAGAGAAAGTTTTGGTCACTTGTTCTCGCCGCATTAATTACAGCAAACATAAAGACCTTTATCTATGGATGGCAAAGTGTCCCAATGGTCCATCAGTAAAGTGTCCCAAGAGCCAAACAGACCTTTTACAAAACTGAACACCCAGCTCACTCTCCACCTCCCTCTTTTTTCTAAATTATTCGGGCCTGACAGTGCTTGTTCTCCACCTTCCTCTTTTTTCTAAACAATATTTTTTTCTCACCGCCCACTCCATGATTTCAATTTTTTATTTTTTATTTTTTTTATTATTCCTCCGTGTTACTCCATTCTCATCCCTTTTCTTTTATATATATATATATATATATCCTTTCCCACTTACTTACTAAATGAAGGGGTTTCTATTTCTTTTCTTTTTTTTTTTATACTTACTTTACTCCATCTTTTTGACAAACCCACACCACACAAAGCAAACCCATCATCTTCCTTTTTTGGTCGGACCCGCACCACCACATTTGCATCTCCCATTTTTTTTTTTTATATTTATTTTACCCCTTCCTCTCTGTTTCTGTCCGTGCGCTCCATAGCCTTCTCTCCGCAGAACATGATTATGAGTAACAAAAAAAAAAAAAAAAAAAAAAAAAAAAGCAGATGGACAAGACCCCATAAACTGTCCCGACATTGATTCCGGTTAGCATACCGTGTCCTCTACAACGTTATGACACCGCCATCCAGTGTCCTCTACACCGTTATGACACCGCCATCCAGTGTCCTCTACAACGTTATGGCACCACCTTTCAGTGTCTTCACCAACGGTCTGACACGACCATACAGTGTCTCCTATCTTTTTTTATTTTTATGTATTTTCTTGTTTTACTCCTCTCTCCAAACTCAAGTTGGTTAGTTTCTAACCTCCTTGAGTTTGCGGGGGGCTGTTAAAATATATCATCACCTACCACCTCCACTCAACTCACCTACTACACACACTCACCTACTCCCCAATCCTCTCCTATATAATGAGTACCTCACCATCTGTAATTTACACATCAATCAAATATCAATCAATAATACATCAATATATATACATAATTTGTTTTCTCTCTTTCTATATATATTAATTTTAACAGTAATCGAGCAACAACATAAGCACAATGAGAAGATTGATAGTGAGACCTACGACAAAATCGACGCCACGTCAGAGATCCGAATTCTGTTTTTAAGTTTTTATTTATAGTTTATTTTCTTAAATTCACTTAATTTATATACATATAAAAAATGACATATTTGTTGGGGAGGGGGGGTGTAAATGCAAATATATATTGCAAAAAATAATATTTTTTTATAATATGTTGTATTTAATAATTTTTATGTTTTTTAAATATATTTTACTTTCTAATTATATCTAGTAAGAGGTGTATTTAAAAAGTGTAAAAAACATAATTAAAATATAAAAAAAAAATTACTAAAGACAAAAAAATATAAAAAAGTAACAAATTCAAAAATACTTTCCAAAAACTAAACAAAACAGTAAATAAGATACATGTTACCTATAAATTATTATAAAAATAAAAAATATATAAAAAAATTTTAATTTCTCTATATTAACTAGGACAATAAAATTATACTACCTAAATTTATATTTAAATTGAAATTCCATCATCATCACTAATCACCACATTTAGGGTTTGTTTGTAAATTTATTTATTTTTTATTTTTTATGAAAATACGGTGCAAAAAAATAGAAATAATGGATTTTTATTTTTACTTTTTTTATTAATTTAACGTCTTCTCAAACAACTATTTACTATGACAATGGTTGTTTGGGAACTTTCAAATAACCCACCTTTTTTTTATTATTATTATTTGATTTTTAGTGATCTTCTTTAAAATTTTGTCAAAAAATTTTATTTTTCTTGCCCGTCTTGTGTATAACGAATTTAAAAATTAAAAAAAAAAAACCAAAATAAGCCCAAATTTTTTTTTTCTTTTTTTGTCATTTCAAAATTCAAAATTCAAAATTCAAAATTTTAATTTTTCTTTTAATTTTGGATTCATCTCATTGGCTACAATCGGTAAGTCTACAACTTTTTCAAAGATTTTTTTTTTTTATAAAAAAAATCACTAAAGATAAAAATAAACCAACAAAAAAAATTACCAAAATGGCAAATCCCCAACACCTATTTAAAAGTTAAAAGGGCATTGCCTCATAAATTCTCAAATGAGAACTTAACCGACTAGTCTTACAATTGTTTTAATGAACACACAAGTTATTGTTTATGTATATTGACACATTTACCATTATTTTTATGATATGGTCAAGATTATCCTTTTAATTTTACTTGTTTATGTCACATATCAAAAAGTAGGTTTTTGTAGTCACATTACTGGTTTGAACAAACTATATTTCATATTTCATATTTCAAAAATCACATTTCACATTCAATTCACCCAAAATATAGCATGCCCATTATGAAAATCAACCCTTATGCTACATTTCAAAAATCACATCCCAAGAAAAAAATTGAGCCTACCAATTAATAAAGGCAAAAACATCTTAACATGACACAATAATATACTAAATAGAATCTCATAAAAAATATTTCCGAATAAACAGGACCTACCGACTATAAAAAAGGGAGGGGTATTTCATGGTATGCAGATTTCTAAAGTGAAATTTTTAAGTAAATTTCCCTAAAATTTTGCCTTTCGAGTTCAAATAAATCAGAATTTTTTATTTTTTAACATAACCTTAAACTTATGAGATAGCTTTCAGCAGAAGTTCACTGATAACCATTAGGTTGGATAATCAGTTCCCAATCTTTTGAATTAAAATATATGTCATCAAAATTAAATTGATCACGTTATCTCACTTGTTCAATTCAGCCAACCTCATCCTATTGTACCTTGAATACATTATGCTCGCATAAGTAATGGGAAAGATTCCTTTTCAAACTGATTTTATATTCAATACATTAGTAGAAATAATGGTTGCACATTCTATTGTTGTCATCTTTAGTATAAGGTTGGTGAGATCCTGACATTTTTTACCATGGTGATGTAGTCGATTTTAAGTAGTGAAATTTGGAACTCTAGCCTATGGACCAATGACGAATATTTTTTTGTGTAATTAAATTTTTCTCCTAATATTTGACATTTTACATTTTGACCACAAAAAAAAAAGTGCAGGACTTACTTTTCATGTTGAATCTCTCCACAAAAACGTCGAATAGAAAGATCAAAACAACAAAAAAATAACAACGGAAATGCTAATAGAAAA